CCAACTCCTCAGATTCTGTGATTCTGTGAAACCCAGAGTACACTACAAAGCCAAAGAGCCAGCAACTTACAACAGCCTTGAGCTAAATATCTACCAGGCAGCACAAAGCAAGTTACTGCTAAACTTCAGCCAAATTCTTTATTGTCTTCTGAGAAATTGTCTTGGGACTCGCTTATTTTGTTGCTGAGCCATAAGTGTAATGGCTGGGGTGGGTGTTCAGCTGGAGCTGCTGGGCTGTGCAAGGTACCCTGTGAGGTGCTGAGCTGACACATTGCTCGCTATGGGGTGTCTGCAGTGACTGGGGGATGCTGGGGTGTTTCCTGGGATTATTAAGACTTTTTGTGGTTTCTCTTAAATTTAGATATGGTTTGTTGTCACTCCAGAGAGTCTGGGGAAGGTGTTCAATTCTATTTTGTTTGTTCTTTCTCTTTACAAGAGAAAATTCTTCCATCTGTTTGCTTCTACAATGAGTTCCTCAAAAAAAGATTAATTCATCAGGTGTATGTGACTCCCGTTTCGACAGCAATGCGAAGTGAAGTCACTTGTGAATTAGTATTTTGGTGAAGGAAGGCCCAGAGAGAAGTAAACTGGTGTTTTAGGAAACTTAATCCAGCCAGAGCTAGTGACTGACCTGGGACTTAGTTCTTGCATCTGGATTTTCACTTACCTGGGTGATGTTAAACAACTTTATTAAGCCGTGTCTCAAATTGTACATAATCTTAATCCCCCTTTTAATCATCAGTTCTATGAGTCTGCTTTGTAAATATTCAAGTCTTCTTGTTTCTGTTTTCAAGCTACGTTTATCACTTTGGGTATAGCAAATGAGTGTTAGTGCAGAAAACTGCTTGATCAGGCTAAAACCTTCCACGTTTTTAATTAAAGCTCCTTACACTAAGGTCGTAGTCAAAGTTTCAGCACTTACTGGATTCCTATCAGCGAGATCTGACTGCAGGTTTCCCAGACGTGGCTGTTGGGAAAGCAGCCCTGGGTTGCTTGAGGACAGTGAGCATTCGGAGAAGCTTTGTGTTCCTCGCTAGGTTTGTGTCGAAGGGTATTTCTTAAGTCTTAATGGTGAGCAAAATTGTTAATTTCCTACTGGAGAGAGGCAAGCAAGCTGTTAATTTTGCCTCAGAACTTTTAAAAATACAGTAAAGCTTCCAAATAGATTTGTAGACGTGAAGTCTGCACTGGCAGGGTTCTGTGTGTGATGTGAGAGTGGAGTGCTGTGGTGTTTGGAGAAACAGCAGGTCAAAATAGGGGTCTTACTGTAGAGTTGGTCTCGCAAATACGGGCTGCTTTGGTTTGTAACCTTGCTGTTGGGAGTTAGCCTCTGGAAAATAGCCTTGGTTAAATTGCTCTGCACACCAGAACAACTTTGGGAGCTCAGGGAATTACTGAAATTGCCTTGCTGCTCTTGCCGATTTTCTTCCCAGCTGCATTGCCATGTATGTCAGAAACCATGAGGGTCCTTATTCCTGAAGATAAAACAGCTGTGTCCAAAGGGATATTAGGAGCAGTATTGAAAATCCCAGCTATATGCTTTGTCCTTTCGTGTCTCCACACCGAGCGCAGGGCTTACCTTTCTGTGGTTTGACAGATGTGAAGTGTTAGCTGTAAAGATTTTGCTTTTGGTTTTTCTGTGGTGGGTGAGAGGGGAGGTTTGGGGTATCTTCAGCATGGCATTTTTTCAAACATTTTTCATGTGCTTAGGTGCATCCAAGCAGAAGTCAAGTTCCCTGCAGGTAGCAGATAAGGACCTACTGCCACCTTTTCACCCATACCAGCCTTTGGAGTGCATAGTAGAAGAGACCGAAGGCAAGCTGAATGAACTTGGACAGAGAATTAGTGCCATTGAAAAAGCACAACTTAAATCATTGGAATTAATTCAAGGTGAACCTTTAAATAAAGATAAGATCGAAGAGCTTAAAAAGAACCGAGAAGAACAAGTCCAGAAGAAGAAGAAGATCTTGAAGGAGCTGCAGAAGGTGGAAAGGCAGTTGCAGATGAAAACCCAGCAGCAGTTTACCAAAGAATATCTGGAGACCAAAGGTCAGACAGAGCCACCACTGCCCCTGCAGCAGCAGTGCCCGCTCACAGGGGTCTTCCCAGAAGCGGAAGCCGCTAAGGGTCTGCCGGAGGATAACTTTTCAGGGTTACCTCAGGCTGACAGCATCTTGTCTAAAGATGACGAGCAGCACCATTTTTTTTTATAGAGTTTGTCCCTATCCAGCCTTTGCCAGCACCGCCATGTAATTTCTCTGGTAATTTAGGTTATAACGGGACAGAGGCTCTTGAACTTCAGAAAGCATTAGGGAATCAGCAGAATGTAGGACAGCAGCAGCAGATTGCTGGGCAGGGGCTCTTAGTTCAAGAACCAGACGGATTAATGGTTGCCACTCCAGCACAGACGCTTACCGACACTCTTGATGACCTAATAGCAGGTGGGTTCAGAAATATACCTGTTTTTGCATTACTTTGTGTGCTCAGTTTCCCTCTCTCTCCTTCCCTCCAAAAACATCTTGGGGTTTTCCAGTTTGGGAATATTTGCTTAAGAATAAAGTTCCTGATTAGTGCTATTAATCCTAACAGTGACTTCCCATTCTAACATGAGACTTTTATATATCTTTTTATTTTTATTTTTTTTCCCCTCCCAAAGTGCAAAACTTCCTTTACTGGAGACAAGTTTTACCCCCTTTGGCCTCATCTTTTTCTGTGCTTCTTTTAAAAGCTTCATCATGAGTGAGCAGTAGTGCCCATTAGGAACCCTAAAAGTGTGATAGTTTCCTATCTTCCGTAGAGTTTCCTGCGCAGGCTTATACCTCGGTGACTTTCTGCAGTGTAGTGGCCATTGTTAGAAAAAGCCAAATCACAGAATATTATTGTCACTGGTATGGACAGAAGTGTCCCCATCCTCGCTGCTGGAGGTGTTGCTGCGGTTTAAACACAACCTGGGATCCATGCACAGCCGCTCAGTGCTGTACTGGCTCCTGTTTCCAGAACCCCCTCTGAACCCTGGTTGTTGTACAGGAATTATCTGCCTGTTAGCTATAACACACAGCAAAACCTGTCCCGTTATCTGGATGAAAAGCAAAAACCCAACCGTCCTCCGTTTGTCGGTAACGGTGCCAAGAGGAATGGAAGTTCCCGCACGTGGGGTTGTGTGAGTCCAGGTATCGTTTTGGTTGACTTCGTTTCGTGGATTTGACTAGGACTGGTGTTTGCTGCTGGAGGTACGTGGGATACAGCCAGTGTTGTTTGGTCTCTAGGCTTTTTACATTTGGTGTTTTTTCAGCTTTTCTTTGCACCTCGTGTCTGTCCCTCAGCCCTTATTTTCCTGTCTTTCCCCCCTGACCTCCCTTCGTAGTCGCTGCCCTGTCCTCTTCAATTCATGTCAAGGTTGTAGAAATGCGGGCTCAGACCTTTTGCAGCCATTCCTGTGAACTCTGAGGACGGTAACTGCACCGCGTTCACGCACGTCGAGACTTCCTGCGACTTTACAACCTCCCGCGGACGCCGTAGTTGGTGAACGCTGTGGTGTGGTGGAGCAGCTTCCGTCAGCTTTGCACCATAATCCAAGGAGATCCTCTCGTGTCACAGCAAATCGCTCTTAGTTCCCCATTTCTGGCGTGGCGTGCCTCCGTCCCCGCTCTGCGGTGCTCTTCAGCCGACGTTAAAACTAAAAGGCAATTGGATTATTCTCGAGTTTTGCTGTTCAGGGTTTAAAACTGGAGCATGTGAGGAGGAAAATTGGAATGGAGGATGCAAAGTGTCATCAGCAAGGGTTAATCTTTGGGGTAGTTGCTGACGGTTTAATGTACGGAGCACCAGACCCTGTAGGATGGACCCTGCTGTGGTTTGCAGCTGCGTAAGGCACCCAAAACATTCACCCAAATGAAGAACTGCTGCAGTCAGCGGAGTGCGAGATCTGTGCCCTTTGAGAAACGATTGCAACCAACCAGAAAAACTGTCTTTAAAATAATTTAAAACCCCCTTGAATAGACATTGGCTGGTTTTTCTGAAACTGCTTGCTATTTTTGCGAAGTGATTAAAGACGTTGTTGCGAAGAAGTGATATTTAACTCATTTCCAAACTCGGTTAATAGCACGCTCTTCTGCAGCTGTTAGAAACTGCGTTTCCAGAAATGCTCAGGGAAGCTTTAGCTGCTCAGTTCCTGAGGCTCCTGCAAAAATGCCCTGACAGTGCTTTGTAGAAAGGTATTTTCTTCTGAAATTCGTGTTTGTTTTACTTCCTTCCCCCCAGAAAAAAAATAGTTGGAAGAGAATTAGATATTTCTCTCACTTTTTACACCCAGCCTGTGCGAAAAGTGTGACCTCTCTGTAAACTATAATCCTGCTATAGCTCAACTTCATGCACATTCAAAACCTGTAAATCTACTCATACTCCAAACTTGGATCCCTATCTAAAATGCACTTGACCTTTTTCCACAAACTTGCCCGTTAGTCCTTAGTTTTGTAAAGCGTTTTGCTCACTAATTTAACTGTCACAACATACCTAAATGCAGCATTTATCTTGCCAGTCTGATTTGTCAGCTGCCAGGCATTGAGCTGCTGGATATCAAGGTGCCAAGTGGCTACCGACCACTGCTGGACCTGTCCCCGAGTCCCCTCTTCCATAAAGGGACACAGAATTAACCCAGTAACCTTTGGGAATTCAGGTAAATAACCTTTGGGAAGTCAGGTAAAACCTGGGAACGCAGCAGCTCTCTCCACCCCAGAAAATTTTGCGTATAATGGAGTTTATTTAGATGTGCTGAAGTAAAAATCTCGCAGCTGATCCCATCTTCGAAGGTGTGACTTTTAATTGGGTTTACAGAAGAGATGTAGATGTTGTGCAGTTTAGAGCAGGTAAGCAGTAAATGATTTTGGATGACATCTTCCAATAGAAGAGGACGGTTTAGATCTCATTTTCATTACTCAATACACATTTGGTTTCCTGAAGCATCTCGCCTTGCATAGTTGGAGTTTCAGTTCACTCCACATTACACATTTACCGTAGCAGATTGCTTAGCTGGCACCATCTAAATTGAGGCTTTTTTGCTGTTTTAGGGTATCCAAGAGGAACTTTCTTTTCTTTGTTGCTAGGTTTTGTCTCCAGTTGCAATATTCCTGCTGGTGTTTTTAGTCAGGAGGTGGCGTCTCCGTGAGCTCCCATTTGTATTCTGAAATTCCAGCCGCGTTTTGAAAAAAATTTATTAGCTGTTATTTGGTCCTGAACCTCTGGTTGTGGTCAGTCATCCAGAACCGTGATGTTTTAAGGTACTGATTTGGAAGGTGACACTTGAGTTCCTGTATTTCGGATTGCTGCTTGGAGTAAAAGTGGTTACCAGGATAACCCGGAGTGAGAAACGGCAACTCCTACGACGAGATGCAGTTACCAAAGTGCCAAAGCTCTGCAGTAACACGATGCCGAAAAGCTGTGTGGACAGACTGACAGACTGCTCGGTCTTTAAAAGGATTATTTTATTTGTCCTGAAAATCCCAGTTCTTTTAGGGAAAGGGGAGCTGCAATCCGTGTCCAGTGTTCGTGAGAGCCCAGTTTCAGACCACAGCCGCGATCTCATCCAGAGCTGCTCGCTCAAGGCTCTGCCAATGCCTCCAGAGTCGATTTTGGGTAAAATACCAAGTTCACGCTTCCTTTTGTTTTATTCACGTTTCCTGTGATATTTTTTCATAACTTTGGAAAGCAGTCACCAGTGTCTTTGGAGTCCTGTCTTTGGCTTCACACCAGTTCACAGAAAGGCCCTTTGGAAAGCTGCAAGCCCTCCTTAAAAGATGAGGAACCTGGATTTTGTCGTATGGAGAACAATATTTTTAATATGTCTTTTGAATACTGAAGTCTGTGGAGGCATCGAAACCGATGTCACAAAATAGGTATTTTGTAAAGATCTGAGGTGTGCTTTGTGAAAGCTGATTTTTACCTGTTTTTGTTAATCAGCACCTGGCTATCGGTGTCTTTATCCGTACCCTTCCTAGTGAAAGGACAAACCACCTCAATAGGAAGCAGTTTGCGTGTTGGAAAGCTTCTGCCTTGTCTTTAAGGGTGAAAGCCGCATATTTTCCCTGTATTAAAATCCCATGGCACAATGTGGAGATGCTGAAGATGATCGTCCCACGGTTGGTTTGACACCCTCCGTGTCCTGTCAGTAGCACAACCTGGTCTGCAGCAGCAGCGGCTGTCCCACCTCCTGCGATCGACGTGGGCAACCCAGAAACTTGGGGAAATACGATTTAACTCCAATTCCATATAAACGTGCACAAAGGGATGTTGGAACCGCTGCTGCGAGGTCATCTTTAAGTTAAAAAAATCTCTATATTGTTGTGTAACGTAGGCTGGGCTAAGCCAGACCCGTGACACTGGAGGTGTTTTGCTCCACAGAGCGTGGATTACGTTGATGCTCTGTTGGACCAACTTGGCAGCCGTGCTAAGGAAATAGCAAATTACACTTTAAAAGCAGTTTAGTGAGCTCAGTAGTTACAGACGGGGTGATGATCAGTGGGCATTGTAGGACTATTTGTTGTTAGATTTCAGTTTAAACAGGAGTTTGGGGTATCGGTACAGGGTTTATCTGCATTTCTGCTGCCTTTGGGGTTCTCGCTCGTGTCTGGCGTTGTTACTGTGCATGTGAAAGTAAAGTAAAGTAAAATAGGTGATGAAAATCTAAAGCACGCAAGAAATACTTGGGTATTTTCAGTCATAGTTGTGAAACGTAGAGAATTTGTGGAACCAGCTACAGCAACGCTGAGCACATTACATGAAGGACCCTTAAACTGGCCCAGGTGGAGTCCCTCTGCACACAGACACATGTTTTTAGGTATATCTATAGATAAACATGCAGGATCCAAAAGCATGAGCCAGTGTCTTTCATGAGGATTTAATATAAGTCCTTAACAGGGTGATTTGGTGTCTTGTGTTTTGGCAGAAATAATCTTTAGAAATCCAATTAGCGTCTTGCACTTCAGCGCATTGAGCAAGAAAACAATTGTATTGCATTAATTAATGCTTGTCTGCTGTGAATGGTAATCCATGGTACGCAGATGAAGTGTGGGAGCTTTTGTACCTGAGCCTCTTAATACAAACCTGGTTCGCTCGTGAAGGTTGGGACGTGAAGCAAATGTCAACTCTCAGTTCAGATGCAACACTTTGCTGAAATGTGGTGGCCAAATATTAATGCTGGCTGGTGCCTGTGTGCCAAGGACAGTGCTGTACTTTAATACAATGTTTTACGTAAAAAAGACAATAAAGCTTTACTTAAAAAATGCTACTGAAAGCTGTCACCTCCCAAAATTTCAGTGACAAGCTCCCCCCCGTGTTTCCAGACCCCAACTGAAGTGACCCATCTCCAGCGTGCGCTTCCTTTGTGGTCCATCCGCAGTCCTGCAGGGTGAATGAGTGATGTGAATGGTCATGTGGAGGATTTCTCTAAAACTCTTCCATCTGCACCGTTTTCCTTCTGTTTGCAGTTTCTGGTGTGTAATTTGGCAATGCAGTCGGGAAGGTTGAGCTGGGAAAGGTTGGCAAAAAACGACCCTTATTGCTTGGACAAAAGCAAAATGCTTCTGCTTATTTCTTACCTGCAGTTGTTGGCGATTTCCAGCAGTTGTTTGTTCCAGGAATGCTACAAAATGCCACGTGTTTTGGAGTAATTCAAGCTAACCAGGTAGTCTGTGTAATGAGACTGCACAGCCTAGAAATTTGCCATTCCAGCACTGAAAATACTTGTCAAGTCTGGTAAAGCTTCATTTAAAAATAGTTGATAAGTGAGGGTCAGATTTTACTCATATTTAAAAAAAATATATTTTTTTAATAAGATGATAAAGTTGCATTTCTCTTGGCCTCTCTGCTTTACATCTTCAGGGTGAAATCTTTTACAGGCTGTGAATCAGAATAAACTTTAGGGAGCACAGACAGCACTCAGCTTTCTTATTTTTGTTGACTGCCCCTTCCTGTCTGCTTCTCTTCACCCTTCCCAGGTTGTGTTAACTCTGAGACGTGGTTAATGGTGTACGTTGCTGTCGGTTGTCTTCCTTGCAAACCTTCTCTGGAGCCTGGGTGTGCACTAACCCTGATGTGAAAATCCTCTGAATTCCAGAGTGGGGCTGTGTTTCTGAACGTTAGAGTTGTGTTTTAGGGATAAATCGTCTGCCTGCTCAGGCTGAGCGTATGGTTGAGCTCTAACAGCGAAGGTTGCCATTTGAAAAGTACAACTAATAATTTGTATAATTCGTACTCGTCATGCATACGGACTAATTGATAAAATTACTTTCTAACCTAGCACAGTGTGGAGATGATACTTACCCCGTTTAACTGCTGGAAAGCTGCTTTACACAAGACACAAACTCATTTCTTTTTAGGAACCCTTCATTTATTTCCCCCCCATTACCGTGTTGATGTTAGACCGTTGCGGTTTTACAGGACTAAATCATTTTGCTATGAAACGGGGCATTACTGAGGGTGGATTAATAACACGACGTTACTTTTCAGCTGTGAACAGCAGAGTGCCCAGCGGCTCCGCCAGCTCCTCGCACGCCACCGAGTCCCCCACGCCCGAGCCTTGTTCGCAGGCGCCCAGCAACGTGCCCTCGCAGTCGGTGCTCCCCATGTACCCTTCGGTCGACATCGATGCGCACGTGAGTAATTGCAGTCGGTTTTGAGCTAATTTCCTTTCTGATAAGTTCTGAACGGAAAGAATTTAGTCAAGTATTGTCTTAAAAACATGAAAGTTCTCCAAGTTTTTTTCAATTTCTGAATATATTTCTCTTTCTTCCCAACCGTGAAGACTGAAAGTAATCACGACACTGCTCTGACCCTTGCGTGTGCGGGAGGGCACGAGGAACTTGTATCCGTACTGATAGCGCGTGGTGCCAACATCGAACACAGAGACAAGAAGGGTAAGCTAAACCAACAGTAGAACAGCTCGACCGTGAATTACAGCTTGGAACAGCCAATTCCAAATTGGGATTTGGGATTCTTTGCTTCAGAAAATGACCCAAGCTTGCAGAAATGTAGAGCTGCATTCTTGCGCTTCACATAGAAATATTTGCCACAGAAAGCCAGTGACACTGCACGCCTTTCTAGCTGGATTTTTGAAAGGAAGTGCGTCTTGGGGAGGTATCTTAAGAGGATTTGTAAAACAACGAAGCACTTTTGTCCTTATTATTCATCTACTGAAGACCTCAGTGTAGTGATAGAGCAGCTAATGGGGGTAAATATCAAATGTTGGCTGACAAAGCCTATGGGGAGCAGCATTCAGGTTGTGTATTTATTATTCCTGATAAGAGTTCAACAAAACCTCAGATCTTTTAGAGCTGAGAGAGCAGATCCAGCCATGCCTCTCTCCTTGGAGCTCACTGGAAATGGGCAATGTGCGCAGCGCAGATGCGTTCACGTGTTGGAGCACAGGAATTAAGTGGAAAGCTGTGACTCCTCTAAAGACAGGAGTCACTTGGAACTCAGTCCACACTGATCAGTGCAAGTACTGCTTGGATTTCTTTTGGAGACCCTTTTTAGAGGGCCTGGATGTGTCAGGGTCAGAAGAGCACTAGGAAAGGGCCTGAGGTTGCAGCCTACAGCAGCAAACCCCCAGTCTGAGAAGACACCTCTGATCGATGGAAATCATCGTGCGTTAACCCTATTGAGCATTTCTGCTCCTGAATAGTACTACTTTGGAGACTCTCAAGGTTGCTTTTAACGTGATTTCTTGTTACTAGGTTTTACGCCTTTGATTCTGGCTGCGACTGCTGGACATGTTGGTGTAGTGGAAATCCTTCTGGACAAAGGGGGGGACATAGAGGCACAGTCCGAGCGCACAAAGGATACTCCGCTTTCGTTGGCGTGCTCCGGTGGGCGCCAAGAGGTACAGACACATTTGTCCTCCATGGGTTTCAGTTGCTTTTTGGAGGTAGTTTTTTGTACAGCATTTTTTTGTTGATGATATAATAAACCATCCTTGTTCTGAAGGTTTTTAACCTGTGTAAGTGTAGCTAATTTCACTCTTCCTTTTTCAAAGTAGGGAGTTGATTGTTTTCCCCCTTGGCTATCCCAGTTTTGTTAGTTGTTATAACTTGTGGTCGCTCTTCTGTCTGTGTGTCCTTGCAAGAGAAGTACTTTTGTGAGGGAGGTAGGGATATTTAGTGAATAACTTTAAACACTGCCGTTATCCTCCCCGCTCTCAAAACAAAACCAGCCCGTGCTGGCACACAAAGGCAGAAGCTGGAATTTTGTGTTGGCAGTGCATAGTAAATAAAAGGAGAGATCAGTGTGGCCTGTGACAACATCAGTTACTAAGCTGCTTAAGTCTTTTGTTCTTCCTCTTTATATTTTATTTTCCTTATGCCAGAATCTACCTCCTACGTTTCTGCTTTAACAACTTGAGGAGCAGTGTTTTTTTCTGGCTTATTTGAAAATCACCTAGCCTATGCTAGCAGTAAAATGAGGTTCACCAAAGTGCAGTACAGCACTGGAAATGTTTTATTCCTCCCCTCCCTTTGTTTCTCTTAAGCAGCTTCTGATGGAGAAGTCCTTCCTCATGCTTGTCCCATTAACATCAGACAGATTTTTACCATGTGTGTCATTGGAAGGACCATTATTAATACAGAGGGTCAAACTTGGCCCAAGTGTTATTCGTATTAAAGCTGTGGGAGCTTCTGAAAGAGGCGCTCAAAGAGTGTGAGCTGTTATGGGAGTGGGATGGCTCCCTTGTTTGCAGACATAAGATTCACAGGAAGACCTTTGCTTTAAAGCCTTGCATTTTAGGTTAGGTAAAGTCATCATTCTGGAAGATGAGTGCACTGCTGCAACCCACGCAGATGAGCTGGTGTGCTCGTTACTTGCTCAGTCTGTGCAGCGCACGTGTAAAAGTAAAGCAAAAGCTGATAGAGGTTTTCCTGTAGGATCTTGTGTTGACAATGGGAACTGGTAGCATCCTGGAAGGTTTGAACATGTGATAACATCCTTTCATTTCCTGGATAATAGCGAAGCTCACAATGTCTTTTAACCTGCGTGCTATCTTTTCAGGTTGTCGATTTGCTGTTGGCCCGAGGAGCAAATAAAGAACATAGGAATGTGTCTGACTATACGCCGTTAAGCCTTGCTGCGTCTGGTGGCTATGTTAACATCATCAAGATTCTTCTCAATGCTGGGGCAGAAATTAATTCCAGGTAATGCACTGTGTACAGCAGCTGAGCTGCAGCTCAGCACAGATGCTCTGTTGTTGGCTGTTTCACTCCTCCTTGCAGCCTTTCTGCACTGATGTTATCCTTTCCGTTCATGTTATCTTAGTTTAAAGGCAATTCAAAAGCACTACCACGAACTTCAGTTCTCTTATACTTAAATTTTAAGGGATTATTCTAGTTTGCAGACATATTCCTTCCCTTTCCCACTAGTCTAAGATCTAGAAGTCAAACTCTGTTTACCAGACCCAGGTAAAGCAGCCAGCCAAAGCACTCAGGGCAGCTGGGTGTGTTGTGTTGGAAGATGCCTTTTGCAGTGACAGGAACACATTTTCACAGCTATGTCTCTTAAGCCTCCTCTTTATTAATTTTAGGAAAACTTGCGTAGACTGCATCCCTGGAGAAAGTTGAAACTGCAGCTGAGCTAGACGCGTATTTTTTCTGAATGAATCAAATGCAGCTGTGATTTTTAGTATTTGTCATGAGCTAGACGCGTATTTTTTCTGAATGAATCAGATGGAGCCATGATTTTTAGTATTCGTCACTTAAGGCTGCTGTGCTTCAGCCAGCTCAGGGTCTGAAAGCTGAAATGTGTTTTCTTTGTTTATTAATTGCAATTGTTTATTGCATGTATCAGCCAGCTCAGGGTCTGAAAGCTGAAATGTATTTTCTTTGTTTATAAATTGCAATTGTTTATTGCATGTGGTTACTCTGATGGTTTCTCCTAATCAATTCAAAAATACTGATATCTTAGGTCAGTGTCTGTGTTTGTTACATGTCATTTCTGGCTTACAACAAAACACCGTGTCCCTCTGTCCCGGTTTGAGCTAAAGAGAACTAATTCTCTATTTAGTGACTTGAGTTTTTCAGTAAACCTACACTGTGACATCCCCTTAGATCCACATACATTTCCCAGAGCTTTCCTCTGGTGCTGGGCGCTGCAGTTCGTCTC